TGAATAATTTCCTATCCGTTAAGTAACACAAAGCCCCTCATGTATATTTCTATCAGGGGAGGAATCAAGTCCTGTAACTATCTGTCACACATTAATCATACTAGAATTAGAAACACAAGGTACCCAAATGCATGAAAACTTTGATCATTAAACACTTTAATGAAAGTATTAAGCAGGATATGTCCTCACTTTTTTTAATCAGGGTGAAGTCCATTAAAAATACATTTCTAGCTATGAAAAATGTTAAAAATTTGTTATTTTTGTGTTAGCTGTGAATCGGCAAAACATCTGGTAACAGTTATAACTTCAGCTAGAAAACGCCAAGTGAAGGCAAACTTACTGAAGAGTTTTTTGTTCCCCAGACAGCAAATCTCCCCCCTTTGGAAGTGAAGGCCTCCCTTGTTCGAGCATGCATGGGCAAAATGGTCCCTCTTTTCAAAAAAGGTACCCTAATGGTCTGCTTGAACAAACAGGAAAAGTAGAGAGTAGCAGAAGTCCTGAAGAAATTTCACAACTTACAGTATCTAATGGTGGCTTTGACAGGTTTCTGGTACACATTGCCCAAAAACTTCACACATTTTCAGCTTCCAATACAGCTTCTCTTAGAGAATGCAAAGTGGTGTCACACATCACACAATTCATGGTAGGACACCGTTTATGAATCTTAGCTTTCATTGTCTATGAAAAGTAGGACAAATGTGAACCCAGTTGGCATTTGCTTAGGTTCTAAGGCTCAGCTGGAACGTTTCTTTCACACAGTCTGTAGGTGTAATGGAAACCCCCAAAGCACTTTGTCTTTTGAACAATTGACATTTTTAACAGACTCAAATGTTTATTTCAAAGAAGAAGTGAAAAGAAGAACTTGCTGCAGAAATAAAACCATCCCAACTGTATGCAAGAAGAATCAAGCAATGTACAGCAAATATCATATGCACAGTGTATGCTTATACACTCTAACAGCAAGGCAATACACAAAAAAAAGTGACTTTTCAGTATTCATGCGCTGTGTAGAATAAAAATCATGCACGACCTCTATGTCTTTATTTTCAAATAGAAAGACAGCACGAACAGTCTGAAAGCATAAACCACACACACAAACATGTCCTTTAACAGTACAGTATGTGCCAAACCCCATAGCCAGACAGGCAGACAAAACTCTCAAGCACACTGGCTCGTGTCGAGCCTTATCAGCAAGGCACAAACGGTATGCATATGCATTTTAAATCTAACTGTCTCCTGTGTGGACATGATGTAAGATTGTAGATCTAAAACTATTAGCATATAGTAAACCAAGCTATTAGGGATACATTTTATAATTCTGGAAGTAAACAGTTGGTATATTATTGACAACACCAACCAAACAAAAAAAATAGAAGTGTCTCAAAGTAACTGACAGCCTTCTGTTCACATGTATCTAATTCATGCTTTTGTGTTGTGATTAAGCGGGCTGTGTATAAACATCCTAAAGCATGGCAGTGATTTTTTCAAGAAAGGAATTAATGGAACCTGCTGTGATCAAGCCAGTGTTCACAGATCTGAGGGCAAAATCACAACATTTTCAGCCTAATTGGAACTACTTATATCCTTCAAGACATGGGGAAGTAGGTACAGTACATACGTACAATACTTAACATCAGTGACACCTTGAGCAGCACTGTCTTTCATTCAGATCAGCTCTTATACTAAATTACAAATTCTGCATCATCAGAATCCGGCTTTTGATGAGATCCAGAAAGATATTAGATGCAACTATTTAATAAACCTCCCTGACCACGCACTACACATATGTACAGTAGATACAAATGGGAAAACGGAGACCAGCCCCAGAGAACCTTGGAATGAGACACCTACTTATTACCAAACAGTTAAGACATAACTCCAGAGTTAAACAGCTAATTTCAAGAAGAGGGAAGTTATTTTAGGATTAAATTTCACTTCTGTAGAAGATATCATCAATTATTCAACATTTAAAAAAGCTAATTCAAAAGCAGATACAAGGTACCATAACAGAACCAGAACCAGGTTGTATAAAACACAATAAAAAACCATACATCTTAAGTCTTAAACATGGATTGTTTCTTGTTAACTAGGGAAGTAACATCAGTGTGTTCAGCTGCTTTGTACAACACCTCTAAATTCACAGAGCACTTGAGGAGAAAGTTAAGCAAGCATTTAACTTAAGGTGCTCAATGCAACTAGCCTTAATCATTTCAGGGCTGGGTTTGGGAGTAGGGAAGGGTTGGTAAGTTTGCTCAGTACCTCAAGTATATACATTGATGTTTCTGAAACTTACTAGGCTATGAAACAATTAGGTTATCTAGAGCCTTCCTTATCAATAGAGCCATTTTAACGCCACATTTTACCACACATGCATGACATGCATGGACTTGTCCTCAACACCTTGCGCTGCAGCTGCAGAGCAATTAATTCTAAAAGGATTGCATTTCCTAAAACGAAATTCAGTATAGGTAACGATAATCACATTTATTTTCCTATGCGCTTTACAACAGAAACATCTAAGAAAATATTTAGCTACATGTGTCTGAATAGGAGCTCATTTTATCCTTGTGTCATGCTATGCTTCTGAAATTTGTTTCCTGACTGTTGTCCACTGTTTCCACGACTTGAACCAAAGAAAAAATGAAGCCAGTGAAAGTAAGAGAGAACCTAAAATAACAAAGAGATTATTAGGCCTACTGCTCAGCATTTCACAGTTGAATTTTTACACACCTTTTCAAATAAAATCATTAGAGAAAATGCATTAACTCTCCATCACCTCCAGATACTAAAACATGGGCTCACACAAATTCAGCTGTGTGCGAATGTCTTAAAACCAAGCATTTAAACTCTCTGAGGCTGGTGCATTTTCAATGATAACAAACAAATTGCCAATTGCAAGCACCTTTTATTAACTGATAGCTTTTGAAGAGCTTTTACAGGCCATAAAACATTTAAAACCACCAAACAGTAGGCCACAACTTTTTGACAACATATGTAACATTTACATATTCTTAGGTGAGATTAACATACTCTGAGACTTCAAACACAGTACTCACATTTGGGCTATATAACACCCCTTCAGATCACGATCATCTTATATGGATTGACTGTGGTTTCTTTTCACCTACACCTGACCTCTGAGGCAGAACAGACACACACAAGAGTACAACTTATTGGCGAAATTGTCCACTGAGGCTAACAATATTGAGATGAGTAGCACAGAAAGAGACAAAGCATGGAGCCACCTGTGCATCTGTAGTTATGGGTAGTGTTGATAACACTGCACAGCCTTTCACAACTAAAGAAGACAAAGCCCAGCCATGAACTTGAAGCTAAAGAACGGAGGCATCCAGCCACTGAAATAGAGTTCACACGGCACGATTTGTTGCAGTAGCAGAGTATTTTGCAAAGGGAAGGCAAAGCTATTTGCACTTTTACATTCCACTTGAAACAAGTCAATACAACAATATCTGTACAACAATACACAACAGACCAAACCTAAAAAAGCATTTCAAACGATCATAACATCGAAGATAAAACCTCAATACATTTATAACAACCCCCTACGTTTGAGAAACCAGATCAAATCACCAGCCAGCACAAAACCCACAATGTGACCAAATAGTTTCTGAACAGCAATAAGCCACTTCAGACAAATTCAATTTTCTGTGGTATTGTAGTCTAAAATTACAGAGACAACTATTCCAGATAAAGTATGAAAATAATATTATCTTCTCTTGCACTCTGCTAAGAACGTCTGGAAAAGCAGGGAAATTACATTTCAAAATTGTATTATTCTATTTTTATTTTGTTTTTACACATTGCGATCAACGTTTACTGTGAACAACCTCCTAAATCACTGATGTTCTCCGATTAAATACCAAATGTATCATCAACGTTTTGTACTTGCCTAAAAACTCAAAACAACATACTTATTCTTTGAAGTGGTCAGTTACCCAGACATCACCTTATTATTAAACATAATCGTAAATGATGTGTTTATGAATCTCTCGCATGAATCAAGCGACACTGTCTCTTTAAATTCTCCACTAATTACTAGATTTCACTGTATCTTCAACTTCACAAGGTTAACAGCATCATGACTGTGAATCCAAGCACAAATATAATATTCATTTGCACTCTACTTTAACAGAAAAAAAATATAAAGATCGTGTGTGGCACTCTAATGTAGAAATACGATTTGTTCTTAAAACAAGAAGTTAATAAAAAAGCACATTTCGAAAAAGGGAATTTATTCTAGTTTGTGTTTTCCGTAAACTTCATTAAAGTTACATTTGAAGTGAGACAAATAGTAAACACGATATAACTTTCATTTGAATTTCTTGAAGTGATTGCTGTTGGCGTTGCACATAATTATGTTTCTAAAATATTTTAGCCTATATAATGCACAACAACGAAAATAACCTGATTAAAATGTTTTTTCCACAAACTCTCCAATTGCAAAGCAATGTGAATTTTTCAGTTTCCCACTGATAGCACATTACAAGCCTGACGGTCACGTTCAGGGCTTCGATAATTCATTTTCCGAACTACCAGGCAACACAAAAGTAAAATACTTTAACACAACAATGGGATAAAAACAAGCGTTTCTTTCAGAACTCCCTTCATTAAATTGGGAACTGAAGATTTTTTTTTTCATTCTATTGAACACATTAAGATTCTGGAATACAATGTCTCCGCCAGTGTTTCACGACGCCTCAGCTTTTGTGGGCTTTGTTCTGCCGTAGGGTATTATAAAGATGAAAACGAAACAACGTAACTAATTTCGTTACCCCCCCACCGAACCAACGGCCCATCTCTGACCGATCCAAACTCGCAGCGCGTAACAAAACACCGACGTTTTGCATTAATACTGAAACCTATTCGGCTAACATTTCGCAGGCTAACAGGGCGAACTGTTAAGATCGCAGCTTTCACAAAGGCAAAGCACCAAGTCAGACGAAACTAGACGTTGTAATGCAGCCACTGGTAAAACTTACCCAAGTTTGAAAACTTCGGCTCCGCCATAACTAGAAGAAAAAGTGGAGACTCGGTGACATCATCATCATAGCTGCACATTCACAGCAGAAAAGAGCTAGTGTAGCCAACTGTTTTGATCAGTCCTCCAGATTAAACTGATCGTGTGGGAGGTCACTGGAAGAAAAAAAAAGTGCCACGGTGTTTTTTTTTCCCCCTTTTTTTTTTCTTCGTCTTTTAGTTGAATTTTACGATTATAATGCGTTTCGCTCGGTTTTCTTCGTAGCCTCGCCTTTGATCCATTACACTGCTTTCTTTATAGATTTAAATAAATGCAACCACATACACACCTTCTGGGTGTCACATGGGAACGTGAGCTAAAAAAAGCCAAAACAATTTAACTGCTATGGGACTTTCTGATCACCAGATAATCACAATGGGCACTGCCCAAGTGCCTTTCCCAGATACATTTCAGGAGGCTGTGTGCATCGATCTGTATTTTTGAGTAGAGACGCCGCTATTTGCACATTCCGTGACGCTTTTGAGAAGGTTAAGGTTTTTGTGTTAGTCCAGTGCGCCTGCTTGACGCCAGTAACTGAAATTGGATCCCTGGGTCTTGACTAGCAAGAATTACAGCCATGTACCTCACGTTACAAGGTTTGGCACTGTACGCTTTGAGCGTCCTATTAATCTTACATTAGAGCTCAGTTTGCGGTACTAACCGCTGGGGTAAAATACAGCTAGCTGAAAAGGTTTTGCAGTACTGAAAATACTCACACAGAGCTGCAGCACATTCCCCAGAATAACTACAGTTACACATTGAGGGAGTTCTCTCACTGCTAACCTTTTGTTTGAAGAAGCAAAAACATCGCCGGGTATATTATTTGACTTCATTTTCATGTCTAATTATGGATTCTGATGTGCTGATCATACATCAGAGTACCCTGGTTTTTTTTTAGAAAGTTCTTTCCAAAAGTATTCAAAATTTCAAATTCAAATACCTGCACAAGTATTCTTCTACAATTCTTAATGAGTTATTGTTGCTATTTTTTATTTGCAATGAAAGCAAGAAAACGAATTTTTGTGTATGCCATCAGTCTTCACTTCTTTCAGTACTGTCTGTTGTGCATGAAACTATCATCTCTTCCATAAAACCAGTTATTATGGGATTTTTTGCAAGCAGTATGATTATATAAGTAGAATGGAAATTATTTTGATTTGGTATGGCACTTACTCTATTAAAACTAAAAAGCAGGTTTACATTTTTCTGTTAACTGCCATGAAATCACAGTTAAAAGTTTTCATGTACAAATCGATGAAACACTAAGCTACAGCAGGCTCGAAGTTTTGGGCACCTCCCCTATGCTGTAAATTTCCTCTGTTGAAGTTGCTCATTAATCAAAAGAGATAGGAAAAGTATCCAAACAAAACTTTGTTTTTTATTTCAGGTTTTCTTTCTTACCAGCTCACATCACGTGAACATTTATCATTGATTTGCCCAGAAATAAACAATGGTTGTCTTTTTTCTACTAGCTTCTTGGCTTTACATTCAGTGAAACTCTGTGATGAGGTGATATAATTACAGCTTTGTTTTTAAAGCAACTGTCAATCCACGGATGTTTGAACAATGAAAACAGAATTTTGAAATGGCATTTTTCAAGTATTCATTTTCCCAACAGCACCAGTGACATTATTATTAACAATGAGGTTTTGGGATATTTTTCAACTAGCTAATGTTACTGCTGTATGTGAGCGGATTCACTAGGAAATATTGAATAAAGAGTGGAGATACATTTGTACCTCCAAGAGCATTTGTGAGAGAATGTTTTGGAAAAAATAAAATCTCATGAAATTCTGAAAGGCCAACCATTCCAGTTCCTGTTGGCTGCAGATACTGTATGTTTGATACGAGACTCACTCTTGACAAGGTGGAGATCAAACAGAGGTTTGGAAAACAACACTTGTGTAGTTTACCTGCTTTTACCCAGCACTTATTTACATGATATGGGTATGTCATCTTAGCTTCTTTGTCATTCCAGAGAACTAAAATTCAACCAAAAGTGTGTCTGTAAAAGTCCGTCTGTAATTCTGATGTGATATGCTGGACAAATAGCATATACTGGAAATTTTTAATTGGAAAAGTTCTTGTCAGCTTTCTGTCTTGGCCAAACAATTATTCTCTTGGTAATCTCAGCCTACGTAACAAAGTGCACATTTCAGCTTTGCCCAGTACAGATTCTGATATGTGGTAATAACTGATCTTAAAAATAAAAGAATGCAGCTAGGTAAAATCCAGTAATCTTATTAACGTAAGATGCACAGGTTATCTTAGCTTGTGTATGAACTAAGTGGAACTGGTTAACTGCACAAAAACTTCATCTTCAAAATTCTATACCTCTTTATAAGGTGTGTAAGATTGAGTAATCATAACTGAATCTTCCCCGAAGTGCTGTATGAACTGTACATTGTCCAGAGCGAATCACTGAAAAATCACTGAAATTTGACCTAAATGTTAATGCTGGCATGCTGCTCATATGTTATGTCTTTACAACTAACAGTTGAGCTACTTTCGTACAAATCCCCAAATCTGTAAATGCTTAAAAAGATCAACCTCGGCACAGCACACAAATAATTTCCTTACAACTCAACTCTGATCCATTTCTAAGGCTATTTTCAATATTTTTACATTCCGTCTAATTAAAAAGGCTACAAGCAAACCCTTTCTCTTACAGACGGTAATTGCCAATCATATTTCCTGACATGCTTTATGAAAGGGGGATTAACCCTACCCCGTCTTGCTTTGCTAGAAGACAGAAACTGGGTCATATAATGTCATCAGCAAACCACAATAAAGCTAAAGAGATGAAAACTGAAGTTTCTGCTACAAACAGGCCTGCAACCACAACACAGTAAAGTGAATAGAAGAAACCTCACAACTTGAAGCCTAAATGCCTTTGCGTCACAATTCATTCTCCAGTACTCCAATAGCAAAACTGGACTCAAAAGTGGGATAAAAAGTATTCCTCTGCTTTGTAGTTTGTGGGGACACTGAGCTGTATTTATTTTTCATCAAAAGAAAATCAGTAAGTTTCTCCGGCTTTGTTTTCACGTTACTTCTGACTTTAATGGGTTTGATAGAAATCATTTTTTGCAGTTGGGAAAATTCATGAGAGAATTTCAGACTTAATCTCCCCATGGCTGCCTTCCCATTCGTTAAAGGGTAAAATGCAGTAGCACGTTATCAGATATGCAATAGGCTGTTACTGTATGTGCGACGCATGCCTTAGAGGTTTCAAGGATGTTTGCTGACAGAAAAGGTTTGCTTTGGTTAACCTTTATGTTTAAATTCACTGACCAAACCCTTAACAAATGTATATTAAAAATTCTGTGTTCCCTCTAATCATCTATATTTAGTTTCTGCTGACGAGGGCACGTGCAGACGTTAGGAGGCTGTTTCCTCTCTTATTTCAGAGCTATGAACCGCACCTTAGGCTAACCCTCTGAATTTCCTTCTCGTGTTTTTTAACCATTGCAAAGCTTTGCAAGTTTCACTACATTTCAGATTTTTCTGATCTGAACCAAAAGCACCCATCAAAAGCAACATTAAGCCATTTTGATCCAGGTAATCCAAGTAGGCTGTAACTTATTTCAGAACTGTCTAGCACATATGATTCTCTGTGAACTTGTACAATGTGAATGGATTATTTCTTGGTCATTTATTAAATGACACAGCTCTAAGCACCACAATGAGATGAATAGAAAGCAATTGCATGGCATCGATTTTGAATGGAGGTCATACATTTTGAATTTACGTGCTTTGTAAATGTCGTCTATTTTTAAGGCATGTAGTGCAATTACATGAAACAAACCTTCTTTTTTTGTAAAAAGCAATACATTATGGAGGGTTTTTAGTAAAACGAATTAACTCAGCCCTGCTCCCATCAGTTTTGTGTGACCTGTCAGCTATTGATCAATGGAGTAAAGAATCTAACATTTGCCTTTGGTCTAATATGAGGAAATAAAACAAGACCAGAATAGCTGTATTGAAAACTCAATATTTTAAAAGAGTAGAGGAATAAACCCATAGAAAGTAAAGAGTGCCACTCTCTGGCTGAAATAATAAAGTGCAAGTTCAAAATCTAAAAAGACTTCCCTGCAGATGGTAACTACATTTAGTGCTGATGCCTGCTGATAGGCCTAGAAATGCATTCTAGGTTCATCTCACCTGTACACCAAGACATTTCATGCCTTATATAACTAAGAACTAAAGGACACTTAAGGGTTTATAAAGCTATGGGGGTTGGGTAAGTGTTTTGAATATGGTGACCTACAGTATGTTCCTTACATCACTGTTTGTGGTTTAAAAATTACCTTTAAATGAACAAAAATGTATATGAAATATGTTAAGGTAAAGCAATATTGTAAGAATTATGAGTAAAAAGGCAAACTATAAATATTGTCCAAGTTACAAATGTGAGCTGTAAAAAAGACTATTGTACAAGTGTTAAATTTTTTAATTCTTGTATTTACACATCTTGCCTTTTTTCTCTGGTGTGTAATCTTACCTGTACGTAGTACATAAGATATTGTTGATTAGTTGACCCATTAAGGTATGTGCAGTAAAACACATTAAGATTACACGTAACAAAAGGTTTTAAATTAAAGCTAAAAAATGTGTCACTTACTTTATTCCTTTCCAAACTCTCTGTTATTTCACTGGAGATTATATCCAGAGGAATATGAATATAGAATATAAGTTAACATTTATTATATTATTCTTCAGTCTTCGGTCTTTATTCTTAATATTCTTAACAATTTAATCAAAGGTAGAATTTTGCCAACACGAGCTGTGATTTGGCATCATAGTTAAATCTAATTATTCTTAGTCTCCAAATGGTTTTGTAGTCATTTGTTGTGCAGTATATTAAAACAGTATATCCATTGTGAAATACAGTATTTTATCATTAAAAACAGAAGTGACCTTTCTATTTTACCCAAAACACAATTTCTATATATTCATATTTATTATCAAATTACACATTCCTGGAAAAATGGTCAAAATTAAAACAAAATAATTATTGTTGCACAAAGTGTTCTTTTTCTTAAGAAGTTAGTGTGATCTTGTTATATAATCATACAGCAACATTCCTTTCTAAATATAATCAATATACCATCTTTTGCTATTTTTTTGGGGTTTGTTTTCAAATCAGTGTACATATGGTAATAATTCAGTTGACACAGGTGCTGTTTTTTGGACATTGAGACTACCATTAAAGCTTTTTCTTGACTTTAACAAAACTAGCTATTTTTAGAAAAGAGACAAAATGAATTGGAAATGCATGTCATCAAAAACCTTGCAGAAGTACAACATAAAAGTATGTTCTGCAGAGACATGCAACTTCATTGCAGTTTCATTCTAAGGTAATAAATCGTCATCTTAATTTCATAATTGTGGTCTGTTTGTACACCACTATTAAAATCCTCTGATGTTAAAGCATGCATCTTAATAACTAAAGCCGCTCCAGGACTGGAGGAAGAACTCACCTGGAGTTGCTGGGACAGGTGTCATTGTTGAACAAGAGCTTTTCCCATCGCAGGCTACCGAGTGCAGGAGAACCTAATATTGTTAACCTGCGGAA